CGGGCTCTTCTTGGGAAGGGGGACGATGGTTGTGGTCTTAAAGCAGGTGGGAACGATGCTCTGGCTGAGGGAGAGGTTGAAGATGGAGGTGAGAACATCAGCCAGTTCATTGGCACATGCTCTCAGAGCCCGCCCAGGGATGTTGTTTGGTCCTGCTGTCTTGTAGGGGTTGATCTTCCTCAGGACTTGGTGTACCTGGCCTGGTGAGGCAGTTAGTGGAGGGAAGGTGGAGAGTTGGGTGGTCCAGGTGTGTGTGTGCTTCCTCTCTGTGCTGTAGCTGGAGGGCTCAAAGCAGGTGTAGAAGGTGTTGAGGTCGTCCGGCAGGCTGTTTGTGGAGCTGATGATGATGCTGGTGGTGGTCCTGTAGTCTGTGATGTACTGCAGGCCTTGTCACATCCGTCCAGACTCAGCAGTAGAATAGAAGCCATTCAGCTTCCTGATCTGAATGCATGAGAGCGAGCACACAGCATGTGGCGTACCTGACTGTTTATCCAGGGCTTCTGGTTGGGGAAGCTCCTGACTTGTATGGTGGGCACAGTGTTGTCAATACAGGTACTAATGTACCTGGTCACATACTCAGCATAATCCTGTACGCTGTCAGAAAAGTCCTCCAAGGTGGCTACAGCTTTAAACACAACCCAGTCAGTCTGAGCGAAACAGTCCAGCAGGATGCCTTCAGTCTCTGGGGTGCAGAGTTTAATTTGTTTGGTGACAGGGTTTGTTTGTTTCAGTCTTTGTCTGTAATCTGGATACAGGAACAAAGAAATGTGGTCCGAGCATCTGAGTTGCAGCTCTGTATGCACCCCGTATGTTACTGTAAACATGATCAAGAGTGTTCTTGCCCCGAGTGGGAATGTTCACATGCTGGTAATATTTTGGAAGTACAGTCCGTAGTTTGCACTGGTTAAAGTTGCCTGCCATGATAAAAACACCGTCAGGATGAGTCGTCTCTAGAGCGCTGATGATGTCATGGGGTTTGCCGAGAGCGGCCGAGGGATTAGCTCTTGAACTAACATTCACAGCAGCCACAAACACAGCACTATGCTCTCTTGCTAGATAATAGGCCCGGCATTTCAGCAATAAAAACTCCACTTCTGGCTAACATCAGTCCGTACATCTCCACACTACGAGTTATTGATAAACACAAACACACTGCCTCCTTTTACCTTCCCCGAAGCAGCAGTGCAGTCTCCCCGATGTACAGAGTGGGTCTGTAGCTGAATCACGGAATCTGGGATTTTGTCAGAAAGCCAAGTCTCAGTGAGAATTAGAGCACAGCATTCTCTTATTTCCCATTGTGTTGTAATCCTAGTCCTTAGCTCATCCAGTTTGTTTTCCAGAGACTGTACGTTAGCTAGGAAGAGGCTGGGTAGTGGCGGTCGTGTAGTGCGAGCTTTTAGCCTAGCTTGGAGCCCTCCTCTTTTGCCCCATTTGTGTCTCCGTCTCCGGGCCGCTCTCCTGATTTCAGCCTGCTCGCTCGTGCCTGGTGCTTCAGGGGCTTCCTGGGGGTGATGGTGGTGGTTGTTGCGGGAGTGAACAATGAGTTGTAGCTCCGGTGGTATGAAACCAGTAAATTCCCAATGGCTGTGTGAGTTGGCGATATCCATCAATGCCTGTCTGTTGTATGCTAGCAATGCATGACATTTGTGTACTGCAGAAAGAGTAAAAAACACACAAAAAAGAAGAAAACAATGATAAAGCCAGCATTCGAGAGTGGAACACGCAAACACGTCTGCCTCGGAGGGCACCATGATTAATCATGAGAGTAGATCCTTGTAAAGATGAAAGTTATTCACAAAGCATCTTAGCCCCTAAAATAGCTAAGGCAAAAACTGTTAAGAGTAGAGAAGGTGGACTTTTAAGAGGCTTAGAAGTTTTTTATGCATAAGATAACATGATGGAAAGACAAACACTGAACAACAGTGAGTTAGTTACACACTACAGATTAGATCATACAGTGATGGTGTTTAAGATTGATCTCATTAGAGATGCGTGAACATCTCCCACCCAACACAATCATGAATGAAAATGATCACAAATTTGGCAACAGAAAAATGAAACAGTGCAACAGCGACAATGTAATCACACTGTTGCAGTGCTTCCTCCTATTGTGATGCACTACATTTCATTTCTGCTGTACAGACAGAACATGAAGACAGTTTTGAGCCATTTTTTCCCTGTTAATATCAAATTATCAAATCACTATCAGCAGAGTAATCGCGCTGCCTTGCACTGAGTTCCACCTTCAACAGAACCGGTTCATTGAGACGTGATTGGCTGAAATGTTGTGCCGAGGGAACGCCCTTACATTCAGTAGTAGTCACTTTTTATTTATAACTTGATTGCAGCAAGATTTTAAAATGGAGTCTCTTACTTGTGTTTCTGATGAGGGGTTAAAATAAAAGCTGCACGCTGCAAGCTGGTAACACCATACCAACACCATGAGTTAGGTGTCACTTCTCATCAGCTGGCACTGCCCTTGTGCTCAAGATGCATAGCAATGGGGTCAACCATACCTCCTCACCAAGATAAAGGTTTTTGTCTTTTCCTTGCTCTGAGTTGTTCTGAGCAGTTTTATAAATCACTTTTAAGATAGAACTCCTTGCTAAGGAGTTTTGGGCCAGATTAAAAGCTCTCTGAGCGTTGCCACCAATCCCATTGTCCACACTCTCAGGCTCATGGACTTTGAGACATGTTCCTGTTGATTTAGTGATGACTCAGGGCTGTCCCACTGTGAAATTGTCAAGAGTGTTAGGGCTCTCACCTTCATTTTGAACCCTTTATGCTCACTTTCTGTAAGTAGGCATTCTGCAGACTACCTAAGGGAATTCCTCACTGTTCATTGCATTGTGACATAAAACACAGAATTAGCCCACAATACCTAGGGAAAGGCTGGAAGCATAAAAATGTAAACAAATGCCATAAATTGGAAATGAGAAAAATGAAGAAGATTAACAGTAAACAAACAATTGTTCTTATATTAACTGATGTTATACTGATAATTTTGTATGTTGCTTTGGACAAAGCATTTGCAAAACACTGTAACCTAACTATAAACATCCTATATTACACACTTTTTTATTCATCAGCTATTTATTTGCTTAATGATGCTGAATTGACAGCCAGTCGGTCCCTGAACTGACTTGGCTGTGAGGAAAGTGAAAACGTAAAATAAAAAGCTCTAAATCCACAACAGTTAGAACCATGATGGCGTTTTGCCGTTGTCATGGTGATGTGACAGCCTGAGTCACAAAGTGCTGTCCCATTACCATTGATACAGTTTCCAGCCTTTGCAGACTCTGGCATTCAAGTCACTTATAAGTGACGTCACTAAAGTCTTTAAGTGGTCAGGGCTTGAGACCTTAGGGGAGTACATTGGGAATAGGCCTAAGTCTCAGAATATTTGCGAATAGGAGCCCTGATGATAATGTCCTGGAACATTTGTACCATGGAACACCAGCTGCTTATTTAAACAAGTGAAGGTTTATAATAAAATGTAATACTTGTTTAAAGTTTGTTTGTTAAGTTTAGTTGTTGAAACCTTCAACTGTGTATGACTTGTTTAGGTGAGTTCACCCATGAGATGCAGGTGCGTTTCCGACAGGAAATGGAAAAAGAGAAGAAAGTAGAGGCATGGAAGGAAAAGTTTTTTGAAGAGTACCACGGGCAAAAGTAAGCCAGCTGGAATTCACTGTTTATACAACATTAGGTATTTGTCATACTTGGGGTGGTTCATTTTAAGTTAGAATACTGTTATTATATGTTGTTATGACAGCAAGTATCAGTAGTATTATTTAGCGAAACCTTGATGTAGATATTTTTTGACAGTTTTAAGCTAGCTATTTCATTCATCTCTGTGTTGTTGGGACATCTTATGTACAGTATTGTTCAAAATAATAGCAGTACAATGTGACTAACCAGAATAATCCAGGTTTTTAGTATATTTTTTATTGCTACATGGCAAACAAGTTACCAGTAGGTGCAGTAGATTCTCAGAAAGCAAACAAGACCCAGCATTCATGATATGCGCGCTCTTAAGGCTGTGCAATTGGGCAATTAGTTGAAAGGGGTGTGTTCAAAAAAATAGCAGTGTCTGCCGTTGACTGTACAAACACAAAACTATGTTGTACAAACGTTTTTGTTTCTAGGATTTAGCAATCCTGTGAATCACTAAACTAATATTTAGTTGTATGACCACAGTTTGTTATAACTGCTTCACATCTGTGTGGCATGGAGTCAACCAACTTGTGGCACCTTTCAGCTGTTATTACACTCCATGATTCTTTAACAACATTCCACAATTCATTTACATTTCTTGGTTTTGCTTCAGAAACAGCATTTTTGATATCACCCCACAAGTTCTCGATTGGATTAAGGTCCGGGGATTGGGCTGGCCACTCCATAACATTAATTTTGTTGGTTTGGAACCAAGACTTTGCTCGTTTACTAGTGTGTTTGGGGTCATTGTCTTGTTGAAACAACCATTTCAAGGGCATGTCCTCTTCAGCATAAGGCAACATGACCTCTTCAAGTATTTTGACATATGCAAACTGATCCATGATCCCTGGTATGCGATAAATAGGCCCAACACCATAGTAGGAGAAACATGCCCATATCATGATGCTTGCACCACCATGCTTCACTGTCTTCACTGTGGCTTGAATTCAGAGTTTGGGGGTCGTCTCACAAACTGTCTGTGGCCCTTGGACCCAAAAAGAACAATTTTACTCTCATCAGTCCACAAAATGTTCCTCCATTTCTCTTTAGGCCAGTTGATGTGTTCTTTGGCAAATTGTAACCTCTTCTGCACGTGCCTTTTTTTTAACAGAGGGACTTTGCGGGGGATTCTTGAAAATAGATTAGCTTCACACAGACGTCTTCTAACTGTCACAGTACTTACAGGTAACTCCAGACTGTCTTTGATCATCCTGGAGCTGATCATTGGCTGGGCCTTTGCCATTCTGGTTATTCTTCGATCCATTTTGATGGTTGTCTTCCGTTTTCTTCCACGTCTCTCTGGTTTTGCTCTCCATTTTAAGGCATTGGAGATCATTTTAGCTGAACAGCCTATAATTTTTTGCACCTCTTTATAGGTTTTCCCCTCTCCAATCAACTTTTTAATCAAAGTACGCTGTTCTTCTGAACAATGTCTTGAACGACCCATTTTCCTCAGGCTTTCAAATGCATGTTCAACAAGTGCTGGCTTCATCCTTAAATAGGGGCCACCTGATTCACACCTGTTATTTCACAAAATTGATGACCTCACTGATTGAATGCCACACTGCTATTTTTTTAACACACCCCTTTCAACTAATTGCCCAATTGCACAGCCTTAAGAGCGTGCATATCATGAATGCTGGGTCTTGTTTGCTTTCTGAGAATCTACTGCACCTACTGGTAACTTGTTTGCCATGTAGCAATAAAGAATATACTAAAAACCTGGATTATTCTGGTTAGTCACATTGTACTGCTATTATTTTGAACAATACTGTATGACCTCAAAAGTTATGGTCATGGTGATCTACATTGTTTGTACAATGTGCTAAATTGAAATTTGTGTATGTGTAGGTCTGGCCTGACAAGGGAGGAGTCTCTGCAACTTACAGTGAGTGAAGCAAGTGAAGTGGCAGCCAGTATGCTGGACAGCGACGTAGCTGTGGTGGCAACTGGTGCCCCCAAGAGACGTAGTGTAGGTCGGCGGAGAAGAGATGGCCGAATGAGGAGACGCACACGGGCTGACTTGCGTCGCAGGGCCCGCCGGACCCTCTGTACAGCCACTGCTCCAGGCCTGCAGTCTGCAGAAGCAGCTGAGGGCACTGCTGTACTGGACATCTCAGCAGACTCTATTGGCTCTCCCATGTCTGACAACACAGTGGTTCAAGGAGAGGTGGTCCTACAGGCTGAGTGTGGTGTGGAGGTCCCAGCTGAGAGTGCCTCCATGGAACTAAAGCCGTCTCCCACTTTGGAACCGGTCACATTGCCAGCCCCCACTCTTACTCCTACTCCCAGCCCAAGCCCAAGCCCAGCATCCACCAGCGCAAATGAAGAGCCAGAAGTTAGAGCCAGTCTCCTCCCTGAGGAGGCTGCACCTGTTCTACCTTCAACCTCTTCTCCTTCCTCCTCTTCCCCTTCTTCTTCCTCAGCTTCCTCACCTGCCTCTTCACCTTCTGATAGACAGGGAGCTTTTACCACAGGCCTGGACTCTTCGTCATCTTCCTCAACATCCTCCAGTGTCACAGTTGCTGCTGATCCCCTGGATGACACTGCTTCTGTGGTCACATCCATCACAGGGGGTACCGCCACCAGCAGCCGTGAGAGCAGTCCTTCAGGAAGCCCAGCCACCACCCCTGTCCCCAATGTCCAGCTCAAAGAGCAGAAAAGAAGGCCAGATGAGACTCAGGCCTTCTCCAGCTTCTCCGAAAAGAGACCACGGCTCGATGACCGTCAGTCCTTTCGTACCACAATTGACAGTGTCCGTTCGGAGAAGCCGCAGCCAACAACTGAAGAGCCCAAAGTGCCGCCCATCCGGGTAAGACTGTTACATAAAGCTGTACACAAAAATAATATGCCTGTATACAGTGGGGCAAATAAGTATTTGATACACCTCCGATTTTTCAAGTTTTCCCACTTACAAAGAATGGACAGATCTGTAATTTTCTTCGTAGGTACACCTCAACTGTGAGAGAGAGAATCTACAAAAATTCCAGTAAATTGCATTGTTAGATTTTAAATAATGTATTTCCTTTTTATTGCATGGAATAAGTATTTGATACAATAGAAAAATAGAACTTAATATTTGGTACCGAAACCTTTGTTTACAATTACAGAGGTGAGACGTTTCCTGTAGTTCTTGACCAGGTTTGCACACACTGCAGCAGGGATTTTGGCCCACTCCTCCATACAGGTCTTCTCCAGATCTTTCAGGTTTTGGGGCTGTCGCCGGGCAACACGGAGTTTCAGCTCCCTCCATAGATTTTCTATTGGGTTCAGGTCTGGAGACTGGCTAGGCCACTCCAGGACCTTGAAATGCTTCTTACAGAGCCACTCCTTAGTTGCCCTGGCTGTGTGTTTGGGGTCATTGTCATGCTGGAAGACCCAGCCACGACCCATCTTCAATGCTCTTACTGAGGGAAGGAGGTTGTTGCCCAAAATCTCACGATACATGGCCCCATCCATCCTCTCTTCAATACGGTGCAATCGTCCTGTCCCCTTTGCAGAAAAGCACCCCCCAAAGCATGATGTTTCCACCCCCATGCTTCACGGTTGGAATGGTGTTCTTGGGATTGTACTCATCCTCCTTCCTCCAAACACGGCAAGTGGAGTTTATACCAAAAAGTTCCATTTTGGTCTCATTTGACCCAATGAGCTTCTCCCATGCCTCCTCTGGATCCTCCAGATGGTCTTTGGCAAAATTCAGACGGGCCTGGACATGTGCTGGCTTGAGCAGAGGGACTTTGCGTGCGCTGCAGGATTTTAAGCTATGACGGTGTAGTGTCATGGCTTAAAGCTATGAGCTAGGCTGATCCCTCACCTCAGGATCATTGATACTCCACGAGGCGAGATCTTGCATGGAGCCCCAGTCTGAGGGAGATTGACAGTCATCTTGAATTTCTTCCATTTTCTAATAATTGCACCAACAGTTGTTGCCTTCTCACCAAGCTGTTTGCCTATTGTCCTGTAGCCCATCCCAGCCTTGTGCAGGTCAATCATTTTGTCCCTAGTGTCCTTAGACAGCTCTTTGGTCTTGTCCATAGTGGAGAAGTTGGAGTCTGATAGATTGAGTGTGTGAACAGGCATCTTTTATACAGGTAACGAGTTCAAACAGGTGCAATTAATACAGGCAATGAGTGGAGGATAGGAGGGCTTTTTAAAGACAAACTACAGGTCTGTGAGAGCCAGAATTCTTGCTGGTTGGTAGGTGATCAAATACTTATTTCATGCAATGAAATGGAAATTAATTGTTTAAAAATCAAACAGTGATTTACTGGAATTCTTTGGTGGATTTTGTCTCTCACAGTTGAGATGTACCTACGGTGAAAATTACAGAACTGTCCATTCTTTGTAAGTGGGAAAACTTGAAAAATCGGCAGTGTATCAAATATTTATTTGCCCCAATGTAGCAGTTAGTTGTCAAGGTTTTACTCAGGTTTATTGCCTGTCCTTGTGTCTTTGTTCCAGATTCAACTGTCCAGAATCAAACCTCCCTGGGTCAAAGGGCACCCCACCTACCAGATCTGCCCTCGGATTGTGCCCTCCGCCGAGGGCTTGCGGCGGTCGGGGACAGGGGGCGCACGCACCCTGGCAGACATCAAAGCTCGCGCTCAGCAAGCCCGGGCCCAGCGCGAGGCCGCTAATGGACGACGATCACGAGAGCATCCAGGACCTATCGAGCCCGGAGGAGGAGAAACTGGAGTCAGGGGAGATGGTGAGATGGAAGAGCAGGGATCGTCTTCAGGCGCTAATTCGTTTGGAACACAATTACTGCTGATCAGTGTAGATCGCACACCACAGCCCTCCCCTTCCTTGTCCACTACCTCAACCTCAATGTCGTTGGAGCCCCCACAGACCCCAAGCCCTCCTCAAGAGGAGACAGCTGGGCGGTCAGAAGCTGGAGAAGAAACAGAAGCAACATCATCTAGTGTCCTAAGCTCCTCCAACGGGCTCACAGGCATGACAGCTGCTTTGCCTTCTCCAGAGCCTGACACTGTATCTGGGTCTTTGGTATCCCTGCCAGCCAGGCAAAGTCACATGATTGAGTCTGTTGCTGCCTTGGAGAGGGCAGTCCAGAACTGTGAAAAACCCTCACTGGCCCCAACCTCAATCCCAGATTCCCTTCCCAGGTTTGGGGCTCAGGGTGTGGACATTATTCAGACATTGGCCAGCTCCTCTCAGTCCAAAGAGCAGGAACAAGTGAAGGAGGCTGCACTGGGTGGTGTTATCCAGCATGGTTCCCACAATATGGACTACCAAGAACGACTCTCTCACTCAGCTATAGAGAATCAGCGAACAGATGTATTTTTGTCCCATCATGTGGATTCTTCTGAGGTAGAGAAGGATAACAAGGCTGGGACACCACATAGTGACTCCACGGAAACCGCTTCGGACTGTGAGAATGAGAGCCAGGAGGATGAGCACCACCAGCCCGACCAGAACTGGTGCTCCGCACTGAGCACCCAGAGAAATGGCCAACTGGTCATCTGCAGTGCTCCTCCTCATAACCAGCAACCAGTCATCCAGGCTCACGTGTCCAGCCGCCAAGGTCAGACTGTCATTCAGCCTTGCTTCCTTAATAGCCTGCCTCTCCCTCAACATAGCTGCCCCCATTCACAGGACCAACAGTCTCTCCCCTCAGCCCACCCACAAGGGCTCAGGGAGACCAATGTTGTGATCAAAATGGAACCTGGAGATGAGTGTAGAGCCTTCAGACAGAGCTCTGCTGAAGAGGAGCGTCATGGAGGCTTAAAGGCCTCTGTCACTTACCCAATTGCCACAGCTGCCTCAAAGAGACTGGCCAGCTCAGCCAGACAAGTATCCAGTGTGGAGGCCAACAACCCTTTGGTCACTCAGCTACTGCAGGGCAGTCTACCCCTGGAGAAAGTTCTACCCTCACACTCTGTCAACAGATTGGAGATCAGCCGATTGCCAGGACCCCTACCCAGACCACTAGTGGGAAGGGCCTCAGGTCCTCGCCTCAGGCCTGAGGTCTCAGCCCAGTCTCCTAGTCCAGACCGGAGTGCAGCCTTTAAGATCCACAAGTCTCCAACAGGCCGGCCAGTCTCGTGTTTGATGGAGTCCCCAGCCCTATCACTTTATCAGTCCCAGCAGGCCCCCGGGGCTGTCCCTGTCATCACATCTTTGCCACTCTCCTCATCCTCCTCCAGTCCTTTATCCTCCAGACGTAAGTCAGACCCTAGCTGTCAGACTGTTTTGGAGTCTGCAGTTATTAAAGAGACTCATGGTTCTCAGCCCTCACAGGGGGAGACTCCAGATAGGCCCCAGCCAGACCACCGTGTCATGCATAATGGCCCATCTTCACCCCATGCAGACCCCTGTCCCACAGAGACAGTACGTACTATTAAGATCAATTGGCGGCCCCCCCAGTCACAGCTCACCCACACTCACCAACAGCAGTTATCTCCTGCACCCACCTTAAAGAATGAAGTTGGTGCACGGCCCTCTTGCCAAGCTCTTGCCAAATCTGTCTCCATTATACCCATGAGTGTTACCAAAAAGGAGCCTGCGGATGGCTACCTTAGTGGAGGGGCAATGGAGGGTCTCCTCAACATGGAGATGACTCTAGCCAGGATGGCAAAGAAGGAGCACAGCAAAGCTTCCTCCTCATCTTCCCCATCTCCTTCTGCTTCATCTCTTCCCTTCCAGCTCTATGGGAAGCTCCCTAAGCAGGGTGGTGGTGTTGGAGCAGTAAGCTATATGGCTAATGTGTCAGTTATGGACAATGGTGGTGTCTCCCGGACCATGGCAGATGGTGTGCTCCAGCTGCGCCCCCACATGGTCTCCAGTCAGACAACCCTCAGCATTCAGGCCTTTACTAACAGCATGACCGAGGAGGTGGCACTCAAGTGTTCATGCCGCCTCAAAGCTATGATCATGTGCCAAGGCTGTGGTGCTTTCTGCCATGATGATTGCATCGGGCCTTCCAAACTCTGTGTGTCTTGTCTGGTGGTCAGGTAGCACGTAGAAACCCCTGTGCACTGTAGAGTTGCTGTCTGTACAGTGTAAGCAGTGGGACCACAGTGTTCCAGAGTGTACAGAAGCCAGGTTAAGGATAGAGCGTCCACTGCTGAGGAGCCTGACAGGCAAGATTTGTTTTGTATAATATAATTCATCTGTATTTTTTTGTTGTTGGCAGTTTTTCAGATTGTTTTTAGTTGTACTTAATAATAATAATTATTACTATTATAATTATTATTATTGTTGTGAATTTGGGGCACGGTTGATTATAAATTGTGCCTTTTTTGTTTAATCTGCTCAGAAACATTTACCTCATCTTATCTTGCTTCACCTGTCATCATTTGATGGCCATAATTGCTTTGGTTCCTTGTTTTCTCAGCTAAGAGGGACCTAAGCCTAATTTCCACTAAAGGAACTTTCCCTGGGGTACAGGAATGTTTTGCAGAAAGTACTTCCTCTATGTGCATTTCCACCAGAGGAACCAGGATCTAAATTTAGTTCTGAGGTGTAGTTCTACCCTGCCAGAAAAGTCCCTAGTCAAGTGGTAGTATTTTCTGAGGGTCCAAAAACTTTTGGGGTGAAAACTGCAGTACTGAATGCCGCTGGTCAAATACTTCACAGCATTTTGCACACACCATTCTTAACACCTAGTTGCTGACTCTGTGCTTTTATCTCAGTGGGCTAATTTTATTTAATCCTTCCAGAGCCTCAGCCCTGCTGTGGAAATCCACATTACAAAGTGCTTGAGAGACTTTTACCCCAGGGAATGTTCTTGGACGTTGGTTCCTGGGGATAAAAAAAATACCAGGAACTATTTGGTGGAAACACACTTCTACTGTTGTCTCTTTGTGCAAAGAAGTATTTTTTTAACCATTAAAAATGAGTAAATGACATTGTTTCATTGGTTTGTTTTGTCTCCTTTCATGGTTCTTAAATTCCAGTCTGTACAGTCTGTAAAGTTAACCATGATAACAAATAAAGGGATCACTGAGTGGTGATAGGGTCATTGAATCCTTGATATCTTCCATAAACAAATTAATCTCGGGTTATCCTATCAGAGATCCAGACTGTATAAAAATCCCCCCAATGACAGTACACTACATAAAAGATATGGGTGGTCTATACCACAAAGTGACATTTGGATCCAATACCATGTACTGTAATACTAGAAGTAGAAGAATTTGTCCATCACTAAAAGAGGGATACATTGTGCCAGAAGACTGGAAGAGTGCACAGTTACCAGCACCACCAAGTCAGAGGGCTTGTGCAGAGCCCTGTACTAGGTCTGAGCTGGAGTTCACACGAGACACTGCAGTAGGAGGCCTCAACAGTGGATAGGTAATTACTGTGGCAATATTGGGATATTATTGTATATAGTATGAGAAGCTATAGAATAGACTTTGTCATTACACAGTCTTAACGAAATTGGTATGCTCTTGACCAAAACAGAGTGCAATAAAGACCATCAAACAAAAAAAGATATAAACAGTAAAAACAAGGTACAGTGTGAAGTGACAAATGTATTTGAGTTTATTATGCTGATAAAATAGTACTGCTGCAAGCATTGTCTTAGCAACTGATGGCTTTCAGCTGAGCTGTTCTCCATCTGTCTTTACAGCCAAAGGCATGGTCCTTTACAGCTGAACTATCAGTAGTCCTTGAGTGGGAGTGAGAGATGGGTGTGTGTATGTGGGAGTGGAGTGGAGGTGAGTGTTGTCATTGGATTCCGTGTTAGCAGTTCTAATGGCCATGGGGAAGAAGCTGTTTGTGACTCTGGTGTTATGTGATTTGATTGATCTGTAACGCTGCCCAGAGGGTAACGGATCAAACAGGTTATTGGCTGGATGTGAGGAGTCTAGTTATGGTTTTTGACCTATTTAGGCAGTGGGATGTGGATATACAGTGGGTACGGAAAGTATTCAGACCCCCTTAAATTTTTCACT